ATTGTATCTGGTCGGTATTGAAAAGTACATTTTTACTTTTACGCAAAATGCGATATCCGCCGTGTTATTCTGTCATGTTTTCTCCCTATCTTTCCAAACCGCGACAAACGCCAGTCTCCCTTCTCTGCAGAATGCTATACATCCGCTCAACCAATCACAGCGCACCATTCCACGCATTGTAAACAGTAGGCCTAACTGACAAGCTACGCAATATCGCGTTCATAATCGCAGATCAATCGCCTTCAATTATGAACGCGATATTGCAGTGAACTACGGCTCTGTGTATTAAATGCCACTCCATCTGAAAGCACGCGATGGAGATTTACTATTAATCACAGAACCGGCTTTACTGAGGAGATGCGCATGACAATCACATGCGATTTATCGTGCAGCTTAAAAAATGAATCATTTTGACGACATTGATGAACCTGTGGTGGTTTCTGCGGTGGGGAAGAAACGTAAACTATTAATAAGATTAGTATTGACCAAGTTCAGAGGCTGTCATATGTGGATCAACTTGCTTTGTAGTGTATTTTCAACAGTTTCAATATGAAAAATAACGTTTATATTGATTCAATGGATTTATTGCATTTTGGGGAGAAAATAATCAGTTTTTATTAAAAAAAAAATTTAAAATCAAAATCTGGATTTGAATTTTTAATGTTATTATAACCTAAAGATGCTATGTGGAAGTTTGAAATGGAAAATAGTGGTTTTCATCTTGCCACTTTCTTGGTAAAGAAAACACATTTTTACTCAAATTAATCAAAATGGATTTATAGCGTTTTGGAACCAAACTCTTCAAATATTCAGTATTTTATCTATTTACTAACCATTCGATGACATCTGAGTCTGTTTAATTAATCATTCTGTCCACTTGTTGTCTGACTAATTATCTAATTAGTTCCCTTTGTTTGGTTCATGTTTATTAGCCCTCAGTTCTCCTTGGTCCGTTCTCATTTGTAGTATTGTGGTTTTCTCCTGAGCACTTGTGATTAAAGTATATTCCCTGGAACTGTTGAAATATTATTTATAATTATTAGCCCTCAGTTCTCCTTGGTCCGTTCTCATTTGTAGTATTTTGGTTTTCTCCTGAGCACTTGTGATTAAAGTATATTCCCTGGAACTGTTGAAATATTATTTATACATTTTCTTGACCCGAAACAATAAGTTTTATTAGCGGATTTTAGCCCGAATAGTGAAATAATCATAAATATAATGATAGCTCAATATATTAAAATATTTTAGGTCATGTTGTTTATTGTTATTACGTTGTCTTTATAACAAAGTTTTTGTTGTAACTGCAGCTCTCATAGCAAATGACGCTGTTCCAAGTTCCAAATCAGGAATTAAATCATTTGTCATCGTTTCTGTTCTTTTCGTTTGTGGTTACGTGTGTTGAAATCATTTGTGTCTCTTTTTCCAGTATGTCCGCAGTTCATGTAAGCATATATGGCGACTCCAAACAGCGAGGCCTTGTGTGTGTTTGTGTACACACCCGTGTTTCCTATAGGTCTCGACCGCTTCCTCTTCCATTGCAATCCATCCGTATTCTCAGAGGAAATCATACGCCATCCCTTCCCCGCCTCACGCAGATTCATCCATCACATTTCCTGCTCACCACAAACGTGAAACATGACACAGTCTCTTCTTACACTTCTCATCCCGCTGCCAACTATAACACCAAGATGCTGACTGTCCCGATTTTATATCGCATTCCATATTCCACTTTATCGGGTCAGTCTAAGTTTCCATGCTGGGTGAGTTTAGTTACTGTATGTCTTTATAACTTTGGTCCTCAGCTTGGTCTAGCTTAGTCTCAAATTCTACAATAAAATATTCCTATGCAGCCTCTAAAAGGATATTTGTCGGCTTGCATGTTGGGAAAGGGTTGTGTCAGTGTGGAGTGATATATTAGCAGGCTGTCTGAACGTGAACTGAAGGAAATTTCCTCTTGTACAGTAGTTTTTTTCCACCAGTCCCACTGTGCACCTTGTATATCCATGTAATTGACATTTCCAGCTACCAAGTGAAGACTTTATTTTGTATTACAGTACTTACACTTTGCACAGTCATACATATTGGTTAGTCATTAGAACAAACCTTACTCTGTTTCTTCTGTTAAGATGTGTTCCTGTAACTCAAACTGTAAAAGCCCAGGGAATGCATTAACTGATAAAATGTAAACCTTGAATGCAATGCAAGTTGCTTTAGATAAAGGTGTGTGCTAAATGCATACATCTAAATGTTATAGTCTAGTTGGATGTCTAAAAACAAGTCTAAAAATAATTGCATTTCTCTGGTCGGCCATAACCATTTAATCTGCATCTATCAAAAACCATCACTAAAATTAAATTCAGACCAAAAATTCAGTCACTTAAATTTATTCATTTCGAAGACACTTTTTGTACACATTTTTTAAGCCTTTTTCATGTTTGTACACTACCATTCAAAAAATTAGTAAGATTGATTGATTTATATTCAGCAAGGGAGCATTGAATTGATCAAAAGTGACAATTTGAGAAATCATTTTTACAGCATAATTAAAATAATGCATGGAATGGAATCTGCAGACTTCACATTTTCTCTGCTGATTTTTGTGTAAAATGGTCTGCAGAATTGACCACCAGAGCTTTATACTATTATTGACAGCAGAACAATCATTAGTCAAAATATTTCAGAAACATGCAAAGGATGAATGATTGGTGTTGAATTCGGTTGCATTTCCATGTGAGCTTATTTCTGTGCAGCTTGTATGTTGTTAAACTATGGTTTTAAAGTAGCTTCTCATCACTGCCTGTTTTCAGATGAAAAACGAACAGAGTGCCGTAACTTTCCTGTTTTGTTTTTTTTTCCCAGCTGATCAGTCGGAAGGACAAGGCCACGTTTGAGAAGCTGGACTACCTGACCTCCAAAGAGGAGAACTGCGCCAGGATGAGAGAGTACATCCGCTCCCTCAAGATGGTGCCGTGCATCCCCTACCTGGGTGAGTCCCCATCTGTCTGCTCTCTTTCAGTCTCTCTCTCCAAACGAGCTTTACTTCACCTTCCAGTGGGACGAATGAACTGGAAGAACATTTCCTGACTGACCAAGGGATCAGAGTTGGTAGATTCTGTAAATACCTCATCTGGTTCTACAAATCTTTCTCCAATGTCGGCCATTCAGAAGTAGCCATGTATTCATATTTGTATTTGGCAAGCGAAATATACAATACTACCGTTTAATAGTTTGGGTTTTAAAATATGTTGATGTTTTTGGAAGTCTCTTCTGCTCACCAAGGCTGCATTTATTTGATCAAAAACACTTTAAAAACAGTAATATTTTGAAATATTATTAGAAATTAAAATAACCATTTCTTATTTGAATATACTGTAAAATGTAATTTATTTCTGTGGTCAAAGCTGAATTTTCAGCATCATTACTCCAGTTTTCAGTGTCACATGATCTTCAGAAATCATTCTAATATGCTGATTTGCTGCTCAAGAAACATTTCTGATTATTATCAATGCTGAAAACAGTTCAGCTTCATATTTTTGTAGAAAACTTTTTTTTTTAGGATTTTTTGGATAGAAAGTTCAAAAGAACAACATTTACTTGAATTATATTTGTGATATTATAAATTGAATGCATCCTTGCGGAATAAAAGTATTAATTTCTTTAAAAAATACTCTCGCAAAACTTTTGAACGGTAGTGTAAACATTGATAGTATATCATTGTATTATGGTACGTTTAATCAGTGCCTGATTCTTTTTTAGAGATTCATAAAAGCATGAAATTGACTTTATATGTCTATATATGTATATATCTCTACATGTCATGTATCTCATCAATATCTCAACAATATCTCAGTATGTTCAAATGTCCAGATGAGATTCATTATATGTGTAAATATATAAACACATTGAACTTCATTCATGAAACACAATCTGAACAGATGTGTGTCTAGCTAAATCATTCATGAAAACATTCGGATGTAAAATCTCACATTCAATTCAGCGCAGCAGTTTATGTAAGAAAGAATAGAGAATTTTGTTCTGTTTCGTGGGGCCAAATGCTTATAGTTAATTGTATCTTTTCATGAAATGTGTGGACATCTACAAGCACCGTTTTTCTCAGCCTTGCGGTTTCTCATATTAATCAGTGCCTGATTCTTTTTTAGAGATTCATAAAAGCATGAAATTGACTTTATATGTCTATATATGTATATATCTCTACATGTCATGTATCTCATCAATATCTCAACAATATCTCAGTATGTTCAAATGTCCAGATGAGATTCATTATATGTGTAAATATATAAACACATTGAACTTCATTCATGAAACACAATCTGAACAGATGTGTGTCTAGCTAAATCATTCATGAAAACATTCGGATGTAAAATCTCACATTCAATTCAGCGCAGCAGTTTATGTAAGAAAGAATAGAGAATTTTGTTCTGTTTCGTGGGGCCAAATGCTTGTAGTTAATTGTATCTTTTCATGAAATGTGTGGACATCTACAAGCACCGTTTTGCTCAGCCTTGCGGTTTCTCATATTTGTTTTAGAGAACATCATGGCATTTTTGGTCACCTTACAGAGTTTCTAAAACATAATGATAGCATGCATGCTGCATGTGTTTTCAATATGATATCTTCCTTGAAAGTACTCTCAGTGTTTGAATATGAAACATGCAATTCAGATTTGTTTGTTTTTTATTATTTTAGCCAGGCATTTTTCAGTGTTTTCCCATGTTCTCGCACTCTAATGTGTATTGAACCCCATTATTTGTGCTCTGAACTCTATCAGACAGAGATCACAGATGTACGGTTATTATTATCTCACAGATTCTCAGTAAGTCTGGAGACTCAACAATACATTGATTCCTAACCCTCTGTGCTGTTACAGGGATATCAATGATCAGGGAAACTATGTCTCATATTCCTCAGCACTTAGTCATTTACAGCTGCTGTTCTGATTTAACTCAAATTGGGTGAAGATGGAGGGATACATATCAGGTACTCTGGGTTTGATTTATAGACATGTTACAGGTGCTGTTTCTTTGGGATTGTCTAAGCATTTCTTGGACAGACTGTACTCATTTTCTTGCAGTTTGGTTGTTGGGATCACATGTTGTCTGGACATGAAGTTGGTAGTTTCATGCATCCAAACCATTAACTAAACATAGTGTTATCCTTCCTGTAGCTTATTCTGGCCAAAAATTGTTCACTTAGTGAGAGATTGTTTGCCTGACATATTAAGGCGACAGACCGCTGTTTTAGTTTTTATGTGCCATTAATCTGAAATACAGTAATAATTGGCCGGCATATAAAAGCATTGAAACAAATTTTGTTTTCCTTCCTGTGTGCAATATGTCTGTAGGTCAGATTGACGTTCAATAACGCAGAACAAAATAAACTATATATTGGTTTCTTGTCACATTTTGTCTGTTGAAGGAATAGTTCACTCAAAAATGAAAATTTGTTGAAAATGTACTCACCCTCAGGCCATCCAAGATGTAGATGAGTTTGTTTCTTCATCAGATTTGGAGAAATGTAGCATTGCATCTCTTGCTCAGCAATGGATCCTCTGCAGTGAATGGGTGCCGTCAGAATGAGAGTCCAAACAGCTGATAAAAACATCACAATAATCCACAAGTAATCCACACCACTACAGTCCATCAGTTAATGCCTTGAGAAGTGAAAAGCTGCGTGTTTGTATAAAAGCAAATCCATCATTAAGACATTTTAACTTTAAACCATTGCTTCTGGCCATAATCCATAATAACGTTTCCTCCAGTGAAAAAGTCCATCTCCTTTTGTCTCTCACATTAAAATCCACACACATATTTGTTTAGAGTTGTTTTGGACTGTTTTTGCTTGTAAACGGTTCTTGATCTGTGCATATTTCTCTCCTGATTCAGACCAGACCACTTTTTCCACTGGAGAAAGCAGTATTATGGCTAGAGTAATCATTTCAGATGGAAACAATGGTTTAAAGTTAAAAACATCTTGATGGATTTGTTTCTTACAAACACGCAGCTTTTGGCTTCACAAGTCATTAACTGATGGACTGGAGTGGTGTGGATTACTTGTGGATTATTGTGATGTTTTTATCAGCTGTTTGGACTCTCATTCTGACGGCACCCATTCACTGCAGAGGATCCATTGCTGAGCAAGTGATGGAATTATACATGTCTCCAAATCTGATGAAGAAACAAACTCATCTACATCTTGTATGGCCTGAGGGTGTGGACATTTTCAACAAATTTTCATTTTTAAGTGAACTTTTCTTTGAAAACATGTTCCTGATCTTGATTCAGCAATGCATGTTATTCTAAGGACTTCCCTCTGATCACCTATACAATTTACAATTCAGTTCATATCTGATTAATAAAATCAATTCCACCATTCTACTTTTCCTCAACAATATCCTCTTTCAATTGGAAATGCTTTACATTACAGAATTAAAATGGCTTGCAAATGCCAATTTCATTTCATTCTTGACGCTAATGTATTTTCCATCCATTTACAAGGTTTTCCTCATATGGAAGCTAATGTTAATGACACCATTTTTCATTTATAATGATTGATGTTTGAGCAGCAAAGGTTCGGGTCTGTTCTCTTGCACTCAGGACATACCCGGAGTCTCCCGTAGGGCCCTTTAGAGCCTTTAGTTGCTTGTAGAAATGAAAACATTGAGGTTTGAGCTCAACCTTTCTATCGGTCTTTCGTGTTTCTAATGCATTGTAGTCTATAGGGCAAGACATGTGTATGTTTTTCGCAGTTGATCACAGAAGAGCTTGTCTCTACAACATAGTAGCTGTACATAATTTATTGGAAAATTCTGTAAGTACACAACACAACCATACTTTGCATTACAAAAACACTCACTCATATTTTCTATATACAAATGGTTTCAAAAGAGCACTCAGTCTAAAGGACCAGAGTGAAATCATTCATGGACATATGAATGCTGAACGCAATGTTACACTAAAACAGTCATGTAGACAATAATATACAAGACAGACGTGTTTTGCATTTGTGACTTTTGCAGAGGCCTCGCATTTGTGGTTCATTTAACTGATTCGTGTCTTTTAAATTACAAATAGATGCATAAACAAAGACTAGATGTACCTCTAAATGTTGACAGAAATGTATCCTATGTAGTCCACTTCAGGGCACAATTGCAATGTACCCTTTATTGAAAGTCAATGCTAAAACAAACTAAATGAAAAGGAAGTATTGCATTTGTGCTAGTAAATGTAGTCTAGCCATTGAAGTTTTCAGAGGCTTTGCATCTGTGATTAAATGTGTTCATTTAACCAGTTCACATCTCATTAACACTTTATCTATTAAACAGATGCATTCGCAACGACTAGGCTAAATTTACCTCTAAACGACAACAGAATTTTCATTTTTGCATTAGAAATACCTTTAGGATGTCCAATTGCAGTGTACCCTGTATTGGAAGTCAATGCTATAAACAGATCAAATGAGAATCTATATGCTCAAATGCCTCCGTTGGTACATAACAGGTCATGTTTTATAGCACTAAAGTACTCAAAATAACAGTTCTTCAAGGTTAGACTTCTTACAGTGAGAATAAGGTGACCGGATGCCTGTTAAGATCAGACTCTATCCCCATTTTAAGCACACTTGTAAGGACGCACTCGATGCTGTACAGCTTCCAGGTCATGTGGAGCCTGAGTTGCCAGGTTTGTCTGACTGAAGTTTTTCTAGTATTTTCACTTGGTCATCAGTGTCCTGGACACCATTGGGAAGAATCCCAAGAAGATTTGAGTTATGTCTCCTTCATGAAGTCATTGCACTTTCATATATTTGGTTTTGGATATGTGTGACTGCATATTATGAATTCATAAGACTCAAAAACAAAGTAAAAAATCAATAATTAACCAAAATAAAAAAAAACATTAACATTGCACTTTTTACAACGTTTTTTGAGTTAGGACGCATTAGACTTGCATTTTCCTTCACATGATGTTC